AGAACCGAAAACCGTGACCCTAAAACCGTGATACAAACCGAACCGTGGGTTTTGTGAACCGTGCCACCCCTAGGTTCTATGGTTCCTATGGCTGTCAAATTTTGGGGCCTTGAGCCAGGTCCTTAACCCCTATTGTTCCACTAGCTGACCCTGCTCTTTAATCCTCATTTGCATGTTGCTTTGGACATAAAATGTTTGCTAATCAGCTTAAATATAATGCTGGCCAGTTTGGCCATTGGATGTTATAAAAGCTCCCCGTGTTACTCCTGCTGTAGAGCATCCAACATTCCCCTCCCCCTCCCTGCTCCAACAGGACCCACAAAGAATGAGTATTCATTACAGGTCAACAGGGTAAAAACTAGTATTTCCACTGACAATTTCAGCCCACTACTGACCTGTTCCTCACAGCCTGAAGCTTGTGTTGCAGCTTTTCTACCTTCTCTGTCTCCATTTTCAGGGACTGCAGCAGTCGGCTCACAGTCCTCTCCTCATGTTTCATGCTGCATAGATGTGAAATGTTTTTATCAAACCCATTTTCACTGTAATTACCACAAACATACAGTAGAGGGAGCTCACGTGCAAAATGGTGAATCTTCCTGGCTGATCAGTAAATCATGTGCCCTGTTTATCTCTGCACGTTCCTAAAACCAACATATAGATTACTTATCACCACAGTTTCAGAGTATGTGGAACTGTGTTTCTGTTATGCAGAAGAAGCAGGCTCACCGCAAACTGGACTGCCACAAAATCTTCGGGGAACCTCTGGCTCAGCTTCAGCTCAAGTTCAGAATTCATGGCCACCAGGTCGGTTTTCTCTGCCTTCAGCTTGGCCATCAGGACCTTCAGATTCTCCACCGCTGAGTTCTCTGCCACTGCAGCCCTCTGGTTGCGATACAGAACCAGCAATATACTGACTCCCGTTAAATAAACAACTCAGCAAATTAATAGACATCCCAATCAAATTGGCTGTGCATAAATGGTATGGACCTACTGCTTTCTCCACACAGCCACATGCTGCACAGAAACAATCCAGACTGAGCATCTACTACTGCAGTGATCCTTCTGGGACCTCAGACTTAGGGTGAAGAGCCCACTGTTCCAGCTAACAGATATGTCATTTCACCTCTAAGGCTCATTTCACTCTGTCTCCCTTTGACGATATTGGAGGAGTGATTTCTAAAAGGTCAGCTAGTCCATGTGCATAAAACACTATTCAGCATTGTAGCTCTGATGCTCATGTTGGGTTGTGCGATGTTATGGATACTGTAGTTGCTGAATGAATCAAATGACTGATAATTCATTATGAGATTCATCTTCCAATGAATTATCCTGTTCCGGGTCACCTGGAATCTTTCCCAGGCAGTATAGGACACAAAGCTGGGATATACCCTGAGCAGGATGCCAGGCAGTAGTGGATCGGGATTAAAAATCAGCCCTGGACTATGGGGTCCCCCACACCCCCCATAATACATTTTACTGACTGGGGGGGGGGGGGTAAATCTACCAGCCCACACAAGAACTTAGAGACATGCAGGAGTACCCAGAGAAATCCTGATGTGACATGAAAAAAAAAAATCTTTGGGGGGTTTGGGGATTCAAACCCCCAACGCTGGAGATGTGAGGCTGCAGCATTACCCACAGCTCCACAGTGACACCCTATTAATATTGAAATCATTTATATAGTAACCCCTTCACATTCACAAACCTGACATTTGCAGTTACGGTTATTTGCAAGTTTCAATTTCCTATGAACAATTAAATGGGAATATTTTTGGAGCTTGCAGAAAGATCGCAAAAACTAGCAAATGATGGGTAAGCGAAAAACATCACTGAAAATGATTTGGATCACATAAAATCACAATATATATAAATTTTTGTGATCCACGTATCTCGACAACCATCCTCAGTCACGTGTCAGCTATCTTTGTGACCATGGAATCTTGCATTTCTCATAGTCATTTTAGCATTTTTTATAATGAATCCAAAATGTACTGCTCCTAGTGCATATAGTAGTAAGTTTGTAGATACAGGGGAAAAATTTAGATGGTTTGCATATTATATAAATTGGTCTAGCTAGGAAATGACAAACTAATTTGACTTGCAAAGTCTACATTACACTACTGTCTGTTTAGAAATTGGAAATAAATTGACTCTTTATGTTACCCTTCCGGCTAGCATATTGTTATGGGTTAAGATTATGGGTTCTCGTGTTTTATTTGCGAATTGTCTCATTTGCAGGGATATTCCACCCCTAACCCTCGTGAATGTGAAGGGAGTATTGCTGGATGGAATCAGAGAATGGATGGGGCCCCTGTGAGGTTCCTCCACCTGCTGCTCCTTGTTAATCTTGGTGAGGGCCTCCACATGCCGCATGGTCTCCATCAGCTTCCCCTCTAGAAGTTCCTTTTCTAGCACCTGCCTCTCCTTCCAGGCCAGCAGCTCCTCTAAACGCTCCTTCATTGAGAAGCTGTTCTGTTTCAAGGCATCTATTTCAACACAAACATATCACCACTCGTTAATTACTTAATTTGTTTGTTTGTTTCCTGTACATTATTCTTGTTAAAGCCATAGATGTTAATTGCATTTCATACGTCATTGTATGTAATATCCAGGAGTTTATATTTATCTTGTTTTCTATACTTGATACTAAATATTTAATTGAAATTACTGCAGTATCTATTTCAGTTTGCATAAAAGTCTAAATCAAGACCTCTCTGTTGATAGTTTTTGTTTGACCCCTTTGGTACGTAAAAGGGACCCATAGTCATGTGTAGTGTAGGTTCTTTTTTGTTGTTGTTTTCTAGAAGTACTAAGTGGAATGGATGGAAGGAAGTATTTTAAGTGTGGAGCAAAACAGTTTCTTACTACTGTACTACAGATTGTGAATCATTTTTTTGTTTAAGAATATATTTGTAAATTTAAATTTATTTACGTTTATAGATAAAGAATTTTTGTAGCATTTTACAGCTTTGCACGCGTCCATTTTTTTGCTGAAACGTTTTTCGGATTGACACATACACTGTGTCTGTCGTTATAACAATTCTGTTTGTGATCTCTTTGCACTATGTGTACCATCTTTGCAGTTGTCTTTCTTTTTGCACTATGCGTTTATGTCTGTGCACTGCATGTACCTTGCTGATGTATCCAAAAGTATTTTCCCCTGACAGGGCCGGTCAACCCATTAGGCAACATAGGCAGCCAGCTAGGGCATCATTTTTGAGAGGCCCCAAACTGTCCGAGGCAGTGAAATGGGGCAGTGAAGTTTGCATGGAATGCCCCCTGGCATCAGTGAAGTTTATCTTATCTTAAAATGACATTAAATGAGACATTTTTAATGCACAGACATGAGCAGAACTGGAGGTCCTAGGTTGACATCAGAATGAACGTTCAGGTGTTGCTGATTTAAGTAACCGTTTCATTTTCCCTGGGATGGGCCCGGATGTTTGCAGGAGCCCTAAGCTATATTAATCCATCCCAGGGTACAGAAACTGCCAGTGACAAAGTATTTGTGGAGTTTACAGGAGGTGCTTTAGATGAATCGATATGTATAAGTATGTAAATAATTCTGTATGCATGGAATAATCTGCTCAAAAACAACAACAACAATAATAATAATTGCAGCATCCATTCATCTTCCAACTCTTGGTTAGGGTTGTGGAATTATGAAGATACTCCACTGCAGGATTCACACCATTGTCCCCATCCACTCACCCTTCATGTCCATGTTTTCTTTTATTAGGATCCTCATCTGCTGAAGCGTCTCCTCTTGCAAGCTATGGTCGCCCTCCGGGCCTTTCTCATGCACCTGCGGAGGATCGCTGTCCGACTTCTGATAGACGGAAGTCATTACTGCTCATCAAAAATCTATAGTCAGAAAACAAGAGAAAATGAATAGTTGGTTGTTATTTGATTACATTAGAACATAATAAATTTACAAACGAGAGGGGGCTATACGTGTTCAGTCAGCAATATCACTATAACTTTCACTCATTAAATTAAAACGCTTGTTGCAATTTTCACTAAATACTTAAATATTTATCTATTTTAAATGGAAATGCAATTACGACAACCTCGGTACGTATTTCGTCGTACACGGTACAAGAACTGAAGACAAATAAGTTAGTTTTTACTTTCATTTTTAAAAACGTTTCTAGAAAAACGAGAGACACCGCTGAGCCATTACTTTGATAATAAAACCAAAACGATGTGGAAAATATTTTTGATTGTGAACACGACAGCTCTTCCAGAAACTATCAAACGTAGAAACGCTGTAGGAGGATTTTTCCGTCAGTAACCCACGAAAGTCTTTCTTTTCTCACGTTGTGTAGATTGGTGTTGCAGAGGTGAGCTGCCGACCAGATTAAACAGAAAGTACAACATTATGACGTGACCTGTCAAAGTCACGGGGGAATTCCAAACGTAACTCTGACGGATCTTTTCCTGTTTTCGACCTCTTCTTAAAGTTGTCTTAAAGAATACACTTAAAGAAGGTTTTCTTGTAACGTCCCACACAATATTTAAGCAATACATTTTATTCCACCTCTTATCTGTGTGTGTTTCATGTTCTCCCATCGGTATGTTTCCTTCAGGTAATCCAAAAGACAACCGCCTTCATGGTTCGAATTACGGTACCCCCCGATCAAGACCCAGACCCCCCCAAAGAGACAAAAATAGCAGTTTGGGGGGGTCTTAACATTTTTCTTTTGTTGTAAAAAAAAAAAGGTAACCTCACCTTGTAGGAAAAGTTTATGTAAAACGACTTCAGACACCCCTAATGTGGACCGTACCATTTTAAGCACCTCGGCGCTATAGAAGCAGCCAGTCGGTTGCGTCATTCATTCTCATTGAGTGACCTGTTGGTAAATGTAAGTAGCTAGCAGAAGTCTAGCCTGTTGAAAATGTGTTACTTTACAACCTTCATTTATTCGTTTAAGTGTTTCATCTACTAATGCAAGCTTTATAAGTTGAATTACTTACCATTGTCCTTCTGAGGTCGATGTTCTATCGAGTTGAGCTACTTTGTCGAGGTAGGCTACCGTAGTGCTAATTGATAGCCGTAACCATAGCTTATCTCGACAAAGTAGCTCAACTCGACAGAACACCGGTACAGTCAACTTTAGTTACGTTAACTAGCAAGATATAAGCTAAGTTCTCTATTTAAACTAGGCTTAGTTGGTGAGGTAAAATCGATCATGGTCATTTTCCAAGGAAATGAACTCCCTATGTTTTCATTCTCATTTTATTCCGAATAAATTGTGCCATTCTGAAATTAGATTGTGTGGTTTGTTATTAGGCTAATGTTAACGCATAAGAAGGTCTAACGTTATGCTCTGAAAAAAACATTACTATAAGTGAAACCTATAGGGGCAACGTAAAAAAACTAGCTAGCAAATAATAAGCCTTATTATTTGAATTTTAGTGGTATTGATTCTGCATTCCACAATTTCATATTTATAGACATTTTTAGAAACTTCATCTGATAGCCCAGATACTGTTTTGTTAAATATAGATTAGATTTTATTCACAGACACATTGTGAGGAAAAGGAAAGATGGAGACATCAGAAACTTTTTTGGTGGTAAAAGAAGAGTAAGTAGGAAATATTAGTGTTAAGAGCTACAGAACATTACACTAAAAGTATAGGCGCAGTTTTGCAAACTTAATGTGTATGAAGGAACGTGGTGTTCAGCAAAAGGCAGGAGAGGCACAGGAACAGGCAGCAGGGAGATGGCAGGATGAGGACAGTGCGCAGGCAGCAGGGAGATGGCAGGACCAGGACAGTGTGCAGGCAACAGGGAGATGGCAGGATCAGGACAGTGAGCAGGCAGCAGGGAGATGGCAGGATGAGGACCGTGAGCAGGCAGCAGGACCAAGAGGTGAGTTAGAGATTAGGCTGTACTTTAAGATCTACTATATCATCAAGACAGATATTAGCCTAATAGGCAAATATTTACAGTGGTATGTCAGAACTTGAACTTAATCTGTTCAGAACTTAATCTGTTCGAATCCTAAAAAGTTTAAGTTCTGATCGAATTTCCCCATAAGAAATAATGGAAAACCAATTAATTGGTTACCGGCCCCAAAAAATTACACCTAAATATGTTTTATTTTTTAGCATTTAAACACAAAATGAATAGGATAAAAGAAGAAGAGCATAATACTGTACTAAACACATCTATGCACATTTATCAACACAGTAATTTGTAAAGTAAGAAAATAAATGTATCCAAACAATGTGTAAAGTTAAAAAAAACAACGTGTCCTGCCCCGATTGTCCGCTCCTTCCGTGTGCCACTTCCCTCTCGTTAACCTCGTGTGGGATCCCTGTGTGATCAGCTGTTTCTGGTTGTTGTCTTTAGTCCTCTGTATTTAGTCCGCGTTTCAGTTTGTTTCGCCAGTCCGGTCATTGTATTGTCCGTTTGCGTTTTGCCTGCCTTACCTGTAATTAAACCCCGTATTCTCCGATACCCTGACGTCTGCGTCTTTCTCTCCGTTCAGTCCCCGCTGAGCACGACAATATTATTATTATTAAATGTTGTAACACCACGACTCTCTGGTAGAGCTTGACAGTCTTTATTCGGGGCAGTCCCCAGGGGAGATCGAAAGAGGGGGGTCTCGAGCGTCCGCTGGGGAATGAGCGAGACTAACGAACGGGCTTTAAAAGAGAAACATGAAAAACAGGATGAATGCGGTACACTCTGGGCAGAAGTAAACGATATGTCACGGGGCCGATTCGCGTCCGATATATCTCGGAGCAAGTTTACGGCCCCGGGGAAGTCGGAGATGTCGGGTCGAAAGCCACACTCGGTCCCCTGGGCTGAACGTCGGTGACGGACGCCGGCGCCGATCTGCTTGTGCCTTCGTCCGAGCTGCTTTTCTACACAACTGCCGACGTGTGGCGGTCCATACTTGGTTGCATTTCCGATACCAATGGTCCACTGCGGGTACCCCAGTGTGAGAGGGGGTCCAGGGGAACAGCGGAGGTTGTAGACCCAGCACGCACTGGAAGGGTGTCAATCCCGTGGCCGGGTTCTTGAGCGAATTCCGGGCGTATTCTGCCCAAGGAAGATAGCGAGCCCACTCCTGGGGGTGAGTGGAGCAGAGGGATCGTAAGATCTTACCGATATCTTGGTTAAGACGCTCTACCTGTGCGTTGGCCTGGGGATGATAAGCCGTGGTGAGGCTCAGCTGGATATTTAATTTAGTACAGAGAGCTCGGAAGACTCGGGAGGTGAACTGGGGTCCTCGGTCTGACACTATGTCCTCTGGTACTCCGTAATACCTAAACACCCACTGGATCAGTAATTCTCCGAGCTCCAGAGAGGACGGTAACTTTGGCAGAGGAATGAGCCGACACATTTTCGAAAACCTATCGATTATTGTTAGGATGGTCGTATATGAAGAGGGTAGGTCGGTCACAAAATCTACTGCCACATGAGACCATGGGCGCGTGGGAATGGGAAGAGGGTGCAACAATCCCGTAGGGAGTTGAGTGGGTGATTTGTTTTGGGCACACACAGGACAAGATAACACGTAAAGCAACGTCTCACGTCTCCAGCCGGGCCACCAGTAATGCTTCGAAACCAGGCGGGTGGTAGCATCCACCCCGGGGTGACCAGAGCCTAAGGATGTGTGAACCCACTGGAGAATGGAGTTTCTCAGCTGAGACGGGACGTACGTACGGCCGGGTGGACACTCTGCCGGCGGAGGATGTCCCTCGTTGTATTGGTGGAGCTGACACTCCAGATCCCACTGGATGGGACAGACGAAACAGGCGGGAGGCAGGATCGGGGTAGGGTCCATGGTCATCTTGGGACTGGGAAAACAGCGGGACAGCGCATCCGCCTTAACATTCTTCGTTCCGGGGATAAAAGAAACCTGGAAGTCAAAGCGGGTAAAGAAGAGAGCCCACCTTGCCTGACGGGGATTAAGACGTTTCGCGGATTGCAAATACTGCAGATTTCGATGATCCGTGAATACTTGGAAGGGGTGTTTAGCTCCCTCAACCCAGTGCCTCCACTCCTCTAATGCAATCTTTATGGCTAGTAGTTTGCGATTCCGCACGTCGTAGTGGCATTCGGCGGGCGACAGTTTCCGGGAGAGAAATGCACAGGGGTGTACTTTACCTGACTCTTCGTCTCTTTGTGAGAGCACAGCTCCAACACCGATCTCGGAGGCATCCACCTCAACAAGGAAGGGCTTCTCCGGATCGGGTTGTCGCAACACCGGGGCTGTGCAGAAATTCTCTTTCAATTCTGTAAAGGCTAGGGAGGAGACTTGGGACCATGTTAGCTTGTTTCCGTCGTTTCTCAAAAGATTGGTAGGGGAGCTGCCACGGTGCTGAAGCCACGGATAAAACGACGATAGAAATTGGAGAACCTGAGAAATCTTTGTAATTCTTTAATGGTGGTGGGTTGTGGCCACTGGAGGACCGCCTGCACCTTCCCGGGATCCATAGCCACTTCTCCCGGTCGAATGCAGTAACCCAAAAACCGAACAGATGACCGGTGAAACTCACACTTCTCCCCTTTCACGTAGAGCTGATGATCGGCCAAACGCTGAAGGACTTGCCGGACGTAGGCGACGTGCTGAATCGTATCTTCTGAATATATCAGGATATCGTCAATGTACGTAATAACAAACCTGTTCAACATGTCTTGAAACACATGATTGATGAACGCTTGAAAAATAGACGGACTATTAGCCAAACCGTAGGGCATCACAAGATATTCGTACTGACCAGTGCTAGTGAGGAAGGACGTCTTCCACTCGTCTCCTTCTCGGATTCGGATGAGGTTATAGGCACTCCGTAAATCCAATTTGGTGAACACCTTAGCCCGTCGAAGCTGTTCGAGGGCTGACGGAATAAGAGGGAGAGGCTCTTGTCTCTTCTTGGTTATGGCATTAAGCGGGCGATAGTCGATACATGGACGGAGACCCCCGTCCTTTTTCTCCACAAAGAAAAATCCAGCGGCAACGGGAGAAGTGGACGGACGGATGATCCCTTGCTCCAGCGTCTCCGAGACGTAGGTTTACATGGATTCCTCCTCCGATCGAGACAAAGCGTAGAGGCGGCTCTGAGGAAGAGTCGCTCCATCCAAGATTTCGATTGCGCAATCGGAAGATCGATGCGGAGGAAGCCCATAAGCCTCAGCTTTACTAAATACTTTTCGGAACTGACGATATTCCTCCGGGATTGCGGTGAGATCCTCCGGAAGAGGACTTTCTAGGGAAGAAACATGACAAGGGACAGAAAGACAGCGGTGGAAACAAGAGGGGGACCATGCTTGAACATCTCCTGTTCTCCACTCGATTCGGGGATCGTGTTCCCTTAACCAGGGGAACCCCAGGATGACGGGATCCCGGGGAGAGGTAAT